GCGGGGCTTCTGGGCTGCGGACAGAATCCCTCCCGGGGGCCGAGATCAGTTCTGCACAGGCCGGACGTGGCTTCCCTTCGGGCGCTGCGAAGGAAGAGGCTCTCGTTTTAGCTCAAGTTCTTGGCACAGACCCAAGCGTGGGAGACTGGGGGGATGCCCTGCCCTGGAAATGTCCAAACGCTCCTGAAGGCACTTAGCATGTGAAGCGCATTTTTTGTTCATTAGCTTCTTCCGTTCTTTTTTTCCACGGGCTTTTTGACGACCCCTCTTATCTAGCAGTATTACTAATCATATATAGATTAAGGTTTCTTGAAGGCTAATTGCACTTGCCAAAACCAATTAAGGTGTATGTTTGACCATTTGAGCACCCCCACCCCGCTAACATACATTTTGTGTTCTGCCTGTGTCCCTAAGACGACCTATCTTCTTCATGAACAAGTGACCCCCTACAGTGCTTCTCACACTGGAGTCGCATGGGGAGCTTTGAAAGACCTTGGTGTCCTCAGTTTACCTCCTCATAGCCTCCCGGGTCTCATAGCGAGCCTAAAGAACAGCTCTACTTTAAAGACGACAGGCTTTAAACAAGAGGTCACACATCTCACCCCACACCACCACCACCCCGACCAGGAGCTGATTGGGGGCTCCAACAGGTTCGCTTGGCAGCAGAGCTCTCTAACCATTGAACAACCTGGGATCCATCCCGACCGAGTCTGCGCAATGGGTTTCCATTGGCCTGGGGGGTGATGTCCTTGTTGAAAGCTGGACCGCTGATTCTTAGGGAACCCGGGGTTCAACCACGACTGGTTTGAAAGATGGGCCTGGAAACAGCATCCGCACCTGGGGATTTAAAAATGCGCACACGCTGGGCTACCCCAAACATACTACACCCAGCCTGGAACTCTGTTTTACCAGAAACCCTCCAGCTAATTAGAAAGCTTGCTCAAGTAGGAGATCCATTGCCCAGAAATGATAGCATTCTGCTCTTCTTCAAGGTTCTGTTCAAGTTTTTTCCCACATCCCAGGCATCTGAGTTTAAGTGGAAACCATTAGATCATCTTCTTTTTTTCATTTTTCAGGCATAGAGCTGTGTTTTCTATCTGGATTTATTAATCCTTCATTCTATTTATGGAGCGGCCACACATGTATTGAGAGTGCACGGTGTACCTTCAGTAGGTGAACCTGAGCAGTTATCATAAGAGATGGAGAAATATATGTGAATAAGGAAAAACTGTGCAATTTAAGAGGTGCTTCAATGGAGGAGCTCAAAACACATCCCAATTTCTGACCTGATTTTTTTTTTTAATGCAGGTAGACTTTGCTAGGCAGAGAAGAGAGGGGAATGCTCAAGTGGGAACAGCCTGTGTTAAATACACCACGAGGACTGAATTTCAGCCTCTAGACACATTCCCACATTCCCCAGCTCAAGGACTTCCGATGTGTGCAGAGTTAAACTTCTTCTTAGGGCGTCTCAAGATTATGTCCTTCCAGAGACCGATCCCCTAGCCTTTCTTTCAACGTACCTCTGGGTGGGTTTGAACTGCCAACCTTACGGAAAGTCTCATTGAGTAGACTCTGACTCGTAGTGACTGTACAGGGCAGAGTGGAATGGCCCCTGTGGGTTTCTGAGACTGTAACTCTTAACAGGAGTAGAAAGCCTCATCTTTCTCCCACAGAGGGACTGGTGGTTTCAAACTGCTGACCTTGCAATTAGCAGCCCAACAAGTGACCCACTACGCCACCAGGGCTAGTCCACGGTTAGTCCTTTGCACACCCAAGGCTACCAGGAGTCAGTATTGACTGCATGGCAGTAACTTTGGTTTGGGTTTTTAACCTTCGCCACCCCGTGCAATCTTAGTAATCGTTAAGTGGAGTTGCTATTAGGCTTTTGTTCAAACTTTGAAAACATCTTGTGACCTACTGCCGCCTGCACAAGATGGAAACAGCTGTAGAAGGATATGAGCCTCACACTGACGCCAACCTTCTGCCTGGCAGGGTACCGGTGGCCTCTGCCAAGCAAGCTCTGCGCAGTGTGGATCTACCTGGATGTGCTCTTCTCCACGGCCTCTATCATGCACCTGTGTGCCATCTCGCTGGACCGCTATGTCGCCATCCAGAACCCCATCCATCACAGCCGTTTCAACTCCAGAACAAAAGCCTTCCTGAAGATCATTGCTGTTTGGACCATATCAGTAGGTGAGTCCGAACCCTATTTCCCAGTTGTCTTTGGAATGGCCGTTTCTTACTTTCCACGGACACGTGTTCTGTGTGTTGCGTTAACTCCTGACATCCAACTACGTACGCCTTTTCCTCACTTAACGGCTATCTATTTACCTGACATTTCACGTTTGCAATCACGGTTTTCAGAATTTTCTAGCAGAACTCCTTTGTGCCTTCATAGTATACGTCTGGCAGTCACCAAGGCTGAGGTGTGACATGAGAGACACTGTGGAAGTGACGGGTAAGGCTGTTGGGTGACCGTGGCTGGGCTGTGATTCTCAGTGGTTTCAAGGGTAGGGGATGTCCTGAGATCAGTTGGCAGGTCTCTGTGTCCTTGCCTTCCCTTGTGTGATCTAACGGGGTCCTCCTCCATGATTGCTTAATGCCAATTTTCACAAAAGACCCTGGCCTTTGGAACCGAATCAGGTCAGTACGTGAATAGGTGAATATTGTTTTGTTTTTTGCGAGATACATTACACTGTAGTAGTTTGCAGATTCTCTTGAGGAAGGAAAATGTGCTTATGTCACTGGCTTACAGCATGTCTATGGCTTTACACAAATAAGAATGCATATACTTCTCTACTCAGGGAGTCACGATTCTGACTCAGCGATCCTGCTGGACAAAGTCCAACGGCCTCTGGAGGTTTCAGAGGCTGTCCATCCTTATGGGAGCAGAACGCCTCCTCTTTGTCCTGTGAACTTGGTGATGAGTTTGAACTCCTGACCGTGTGGCCCAATGTATAACCCATGATATCAATAGCACTCCTTTACATGCACACCAACAGAGACCAAATTCGGGAGAATGTTACCATAGCTACTACCTAGGGCAGTGGTTCTCAACCTTCCTCATGCCGCGACCCCTTAACACAGTCCCTCAGGTTGTGGTGACCCCCCAACCGTAAGATTTTTTTCATTGCTACTTCATCACTGTCATTTTGCTACGGCTGTGAATCAGGCGACTCCTGTGAAAGGGTCGTTCGACCCCCAAAGGGGTCACAAACCACAGGTTGAGAACTGCCCATCTAGGGCATTTTGCTCATTTTCTCCTTTTGAACTATGTGTTTTAGATGCTGGGTTTCCGATAGAGTCAGCCTTTCGAAAGTATAAGATCTGTGGTCAGTCTGAGGGTGGACCAGGCAGTCCCCCTCCAGGCAGTTCCGACTCAGAGCAACTCCGTGTGCATCCGAACATAACTGTGCCCCACAGGATTTTCAAGGGCTGACTTGTCAGAAGCAGGTCCTTGGGTCTTTCTGCCAAGACACATCAGAGTGGGCTCACATCTCCAGTAATTCCGTGAAGACCCAAGTAAGTGCATTAAGCATTGGCATTACTGGGAGGATGCTGTTGTTAGTTGTTCGGTATCATCAATTTGGCTCTGACACGGGCACCTTTCTATAGAAACTTACCATAATAGACCACAGTGTGGCCCTGTGTTTTTCTGGCAGCTCATAGTTCCTAAAGGCTTGTCCAATGTTAACTTTTCTGTGGTTGCATCTAAGGTGCAATCAATCTGTTTGTGGTTTTTTTTTTCTTTAAAACGAAATTGTTCATTCTTCCGACAGTCCTGCAGGTGTTGTTAGGCCTGCTGAACTGATTGCAACTCACAGCCGTCCTGGGTAACATCATGGAACCTCCCCATGGGTTTCTGGCTGTAATCTTCACAGGCACAGACCACTGGGTGCGCAGGTTCAAACTGCCCACCGGTAGGTCGGCCGCCAAGCGCTTCCCTGGTGCACCACCAGGGCTCCTGCTCATGGTCCTGAAAACTCCTGGGCCATGGTCCTGTAAACTCCTACAGACTCATGTGCCAGGCGTCCAGGGCCAGAAGAACCAAGACCTAGTGAGGATAGAGCCGGGTGGGAGAGTTTGCTCCAGGGGAGGCACATCAGCCAGCTCAGAGCGTCTGCAGCCCTTCCTTCTGTTGGGACACCACACGCCAGAGGATTTCAAGCCACTTGTCTCGGCGTGATTACCCACATTGACTCCTGGCCATGATTGATATTCTGTCACATGCTCACCATCCTGGGAACCCTTGGTGGTGGAAGAAAGGGGGGCAGCTTACCCACGCAGCTCAGTCAATTGCCCCGGTCACCTCAGCAAGTCTGGTTTGTAAACAAAGATTCCCTAAGATGTGTTTAAAAGTTGCAGAGCAATGCAGATAGAAATGGGGACCACTAACAGCTAGCATGAGCGACTATGGGATTTGATGACATGCTTAGAATCAGGCCTTTTTTAGTCTACCCACAGCTTGGTAATAAGAATAATCCAAGGGCCCTTGATAATTTATAAATTATTATTTTGTCATAGCTCAGCATCTTATATTATTTGCTCAGAATACACACGGAATGAGTATGGTAAAAGGACACACACCTTTCCTGATGTTAAGTCTGTAGCACCCCCTTGTTCTGTTCAAGCAACTGCCTCTATGGACAGGTTCAGCATGTGCTCTGGAATTCCCATTCTTCTCAACGTTGTCCATAGTTTGTTATGATCCACCCAATTGAATGCCTTTGCACGGCCAATTAAACAGAAGTAGACATCTTTCTGATGTTCGCTGGCTTCAGCCAAGAGCCATCTGACATCAGCAATGATATTCCTCATTGTGAATGTAGTTTGAATTTCTGGCAGCTCCCTGTTGGTGTACTGCTACAACAATTCTTTAATTAACTCCAGTAAAATTTTTCTACAGTTCTTTCAGCTTGAGATCTGTTTTTCCCTCTTGGGTTTCTAACTCCAGGCCTTTGTACATTTCACGATAATTCTTTATCTTCTTAAGCTCCCTTTGAAGTTTTCTGTTCAGCTCCTTTCTCTGATTAGTTCTTCCATTTCCTTTAGCTACCCTTCGTTCAAGAGGAAGTTTCCAAGTCTCTTTTGATAGCCTGTTTGATCTTTTCTTTCTTTCTTATCTTTTAATTACCTTTAACCTTCTTCATGGATGATATTCTAGTGGTCATCCCACAGCTCATCGGGGCTTCTGTCATGAGTGGTCAGTGCCTCAAACCTATACTTGATCTTTTCTCTCCATGCAGGTGGGAAATCCTCAAGGTTGAATTTTTGCTCCCATGGATTTAAGTTTCATCAATCTAAACTTGCATATGAGAAATTAGTAGTCAATTACAGTTGACCACTGACCTTATTTTGAATGATGATATTGCGCTTCCCCACAGATGTAGTCCATTTGATTCCTGTGTATTGCCCCTGGTCCCCATGTATTTTTAGTTAATTAAGTGCCATTGAGTCTGATCTGGCTCATAGTGACCTTATGCACAGCAGTTTATTTTGTTGGACAAAGGTATCTGTGGCGAAGAAGTCATCGATCTTTCTTATGATCTCCAGTTTTGTTTCAATCACCAAGACAATATTTTCCAATGATTATTCGGTTTGATATTTTAATCGTTAGTAATGACCGATGCATATTGATTGGCTGTTTGATCAATTTCAGACTGAAGAAGATGGTAGGGTTCTTCGGTTTCTTCCTCATTGGCTTTAGTGGTATGCATACATTTGAATGATGGCCGTATTAACTGGATTTCCCTATGGTTGTATAGGTATCAGCCTATCACCAACAGCCCTGCACATTAAAATAGATCTTGAAATGTTGTTTTTGATTGCACATGATACGCTGGCCCTCTTGAATTTCTCATTCCTGGCATAGCACGTCATATTATTTTCTAACTCAGAATGACCAATATAGCTCACTACTACCTAGGATATGTTTCATATAATTTTTGACATCTAATTTTCCTTGATTCATACTTCACATTCCATGTTCCCATCATTGATATATACTTGCAACTGTTTTTTCTTATTTTCAGTAGTGCCTTCAGCAAACGAAGGTCCCAAAAGTTTAGTTCCACCCACATGAAGATTACCTCCTCTTTGAAGAGGCAAATCATTCTCTACTTGTATCGTGAGTGCCATCCAACATAAAGGGTCGATCTTTCAGCACGATATCAGAGAATATCCCACTGCTATTCTTAAGCATTTCAGTGGCTCATTAATCAGAAGCGGATTGCCTATTCCTTCTTCCTAGTCTGTTCTGAGTCTAGAAGCTCCATTGAAATGCATTCACCATGGGTGACCGATAGTATTTAAATACTGCTGGCATCACTTCTAGCATTACGGCAACATGCAAACCACCACAGTATGACAAACGGACAGACAAGGAGTGCTTGCTATTATTAGGTACCCTGAAGTCACTGCTGACTCATGGTGACCCAATATACAGCCGAACAAAGCACTGCCCCATCCTGCATCATGCTCGTCACTGGCTATGTGTCTGTGCACCCACTACAGATCCAGCAGTGTGCCAAGTGTTTTACAGAATATGCTACAGGCGCATAAGCTTACAGGGGATGAATTGCTCATCACCAAGATTAACCCAGGTCAGTCCTACTCCAAATCCGATGCCCTCTTTTACTACGTTACCTGCCCAGTAAGATATCTGCCTACCTGGTCTTCGAGTTGTCAACCAGGAGGCTGGCAGATAAGAATGGCTATGGATGTGTTAGGCAAGTGTCCTCGTTCACTCAATGGGCCAAGAGACTTTCATTGAGCCCTGTCTTCTTTATCTAGTGCTGATCCAGCAGAACTACCACAGAGGGTGGCTTTAAGAAACAAGGATTTGTTTTCTCCCCATTTGGAAAACTCATAATGTGAATTCAGGGTGCCGCTTCTAGTGAAAGACTCTTTTTCTGAGGGCTCTGGGTGAAGATATGCAAATCTTTTCAGCTTCTATTTCCTGGTTCCTTCTCCACAGCGTGGCAGCTAGTTAGCTATCTTCTACCCTCTTTGCTGGCTTGCCTCGGTGCCCGCTCAGTTGGTCTGTTCCTGTCTCGGAAGAGATTTACTTAAGATGCATTCGATACTAACACTGCCCAATATGACCTTAATTAGGACAAGAATCGTAGGTATGGAGGATAGAATTCATAACATATATTTTGAACAAACACAAGTCACTCCATAACAATGATCTA